CACTGAAAGTTGACTTTGCATCTCTTTGTGGCTGTTTATTGAACGTCAGATCGTCTATATGTTGACCATATACGCCTACGCAAGGCCTTTGTTCTCATTTTTCTGACGACCAATATTTGGGACATAAACTTTGAGGTGAATTACTGTCCGCCAATATTGGCTAGCAGCCAGCTCTCATCAGAGTTGCGGTTAGCCACGTTTCAGTGGGAATAATCATTTTCAGTTGTAGGTGCGCTTGGAGATTTCGGAGTTCGCCTGCTTTTCCTCCCACCCCCCCCAGACATTGCCATATAGGCAGCTGACAGCGAGTCTAACAACTTCAGCATGTTGTGGGGTAGTTGATGTGAAACTGTCAGCTGGTGGGGACTTAATGTTGAAACTAAATGGCCAATTCCGAGGGAACCAGCCCGTTGAAGTTTTTCCATGGATTTCAGCAGGACACTTGGGTGACACAGACTGTTATTCTCAGAACTGCATCGCTCTAGTGTCGCTGAAGCTTGAGGACGTATTAAAGCCTCATTTTGCTAATTCCTTATGGTTCGGGGTCTGCTTTCGCAGCATCGGATGTGTCCTCCCATTTTCCCCTTGGTCTCGTACCGCCGTTGAAGTGCTATGGACAACTGCTCCGGGGAGTTGAATGTCACACTTACCAGCTTTGTAGAGATAATCAGTGTGAGATTAGTGGGGCAAGGTAGTCGGAAAATAGAAATTGCTCAAGAAGCGCCAAGGGCCATCTGAGATGACAGCCATCTCCATTGCTGTACGTCATGCATGTATTTTTCACAATAAGTGCCCGTTTCCAGCTCCGGAACACCGTGTACCACCATAGAGGTAGAAGGCATCAGTTCCGGTGACTCCCTCGCTATTCGTCTGATAGCTCATGGTCTATCTTGTCTCACCCTTATGCTCGAACTTCTGTCGATGGCTAGTACCTGAGCCATTAATAGTACTCTTTCAGGCTCTTCGGCAGAGTTCAGTGTAACCCTTAATGGGGGTGGCTTACCCTGAGGCGTGTGGACAACCCTGTACAGCCTGCAAATTTCACTGAACTAATGTTCAGACCTAATTTATTGCACAGGTTCGACCACTGTTCCTGATCAAACAGGGCCCGTTGTTCAAGCAAGCTATCCTTGCTCACAGGTGCGTTGAAGAGGATAAGAGATTTGGACTGACTAAACTCAGACTTAGGTTTGGTCTTTGGCTGATTGTATTCCTTTGCAGCGTCAGTAACTTTAGGCTTCATCAGGTTCTGGTCAGCCTTTGTTGTATTGCCAAGCTTTCTAGGGGTTGCCAAGTGGTGCTTTTGTAATGCTATCTTTCACTGATGTTGTGGTTGCAACCTTGATAGTCTTCACTCTGTGAAAATTGGCATTTCCAGCTAGAGGGGCTGGAGTGTCCTTACTGTCTGTACCAAGTTTCCATAGTGTGGTGCGAGCAGGTGGGGAGTTGCATGAGACAGTGTTGGGACACAAGAGCGACGTGTTGTTTCTGCTATCCACAGACACGCTGTGTGGGACTATACCAGGCGACGAATTGGACAGATGTACCAAAACCACGGGTATGGGTTATTTCTCATAAACTCGTAATATGATTTCGGCACCTCTTTGTCCCAACGGCAGTGCATCGATTGACAGCTAACTCTCAGAAACTGTCAATGTCCAGCTCTTACTCCGCTGGACCTCACGCTGTCCCTCGAAGACTTTCAGAAACAATCGGCAATAACCAACGCGAAAAACAGAACACAGATTGAAGACTCGAGAATCCTTTATTCTTTCGCCAATACGTAATCAACAATAAGGTTATTACACACAAGGTTCAAGAATAAATGTTATAACAATAAATCACGATAATACTTCTGATAGTTTTTTATCTTCCACTGAACAGCGAACGATGAGACGATGACTGATGGATGGATGACTCCCGCAAAAGTTATGGAGGAGTTGGGTCTGAGCAAACAACCATGAATTGATCGTTCAATCTTCAAGTACATTGACGCAATTCTTCACCTCTAAGTCATGGATTTGCAGGGACTGATGGAATTAGAAAAGCAAAATAAAGACAGAAACCTTAAAAAATACCACTCAACGTTAGTGGGTTAGTAGAAGTACTGATAACAGAACAAAACTGATGATATATACAGTGTTAGAGGCAAACGGTGAACAGCCAAACCAATATGGTTCTGGTGATAATCAGGTGCGCAAATGTGTTTGGGTGTAAATATTTTCAGTCAGTGAAGTCGCGTTGATATTTAAAAAACATTCTGACATTAGAGTTCCTGGTGGGAAACCAACTTGCAGCTGATGTCAGAAGATAGAAAGTAAACTTTAGCACTTACACTAGGCACAGTAAGATAAAAATTATTATGTGTGCGACAAGAGGATCACGACTGTGACCTTGAGAAACGAATACCAAACTCAAGATTCTATTTCTTGCACACAGCGATTTCATATGAAGTTGAGAATTTATTACGCCTAAGATTGAGTATTAGTGGACCAAGAGTCACCTAAGCCCTTGTCATAGGCTCTTTCGGTGGCATGTAGGGGGACTTGCTTGTGTTTTCATTTGCTGCCCACCGGTAATTACTTGATGATAAACCGAACTGGCCTGCTCTACATAACAGACTCTGGGAATGATGCGGGAAGCATTTAGCCTTTAAGTTAGTTTTACCTTAGTTGAGAGACCATACGTGTTGTGGGTTCAAACGAGGCCACTACACTCTATAGTGATGTAAGGTAAGTGCAGTTTTCCTTGTAAGTTTCAACCACTGCAGTCCAGTTAATAGAGCATGAGTTGAAATCTTGAGGAGGGTACCTCCCAATCTCTGACTATGAGTTACCTTCGCAGCAGTGTTTAGGTAGATGATGCGGAGTGGTCAGTGTCCCGGAGGATATAATCGACCACCACTTTGGTAACTCATTCGTGTGAGTGACTTCATCACTATACCACCCATTAAACTGAAAAGGTGTACGATGTGATTTTAGTACGAGTTGTGTATTACCAACAGTAATTTCTATAGTGATCTAACTGATGATAAAAGTTCAGTACATTAGATAATGGCAGTGATGATAGCATCCAAATATCATCAGCGTATATGCTTGGCTATTCTGTGGAGTGTAACCACTGTGGCTCGTGATTCACTGTAGCAATTCCTACGGCGTATGGCAATGGCATACTCATGTATTCTGAAGCAACTGATGAGGCGATTCGACGTCGAAATATTTAGTAGCTATCACAACAACGAAACTTTCATATACACGGATGCATTTCTGAATGGACACAAGCATTTTAGCTAAAGGCTTCTCAGAAAGTGTGCAAGGTTTCACATGAACCCATAATAAATATCGGTCGTTAAAATGAATAAGTGTGTCATCATTTACATCCAACGTCAGTTTATATTCTCAAACATATTCTAATGTACAAGCATCTACATACGGGTAAGCGCTTGAAATTCGAACAAGAAATACATTTTTTGATGTAAAACGATGGTGTAATCACTGAAGTGACAACTATCTGTTGTCCCTTACAGAGAGTGACAGTGATTTGGAGCAAAAAAAGACACTACAGATTTTCAAGCATAGACGAACAAATGGGAACATCATGGGAAGCGACCAGTTGAGAGTCTGAGAGAGACATGTAGATGATGTAAAGGGAAAATGAAAGATTTTATGCGTTTGTGCGGCTTATTCAAAATGATTTCTGGAGAGTGAGTGGGATGGAGGTGTGCTGCAGAATCCATCTCCCCTGCTGACAACACGAGGAACGAATAGGAAGAATGTCTTCACTTATCTGCGATGCAGATACTAGCCCATACTACAACTCGATAGGAACTAAAACATACAGAGTTAGAGGCATTCAATTATCCGGAGTATTTGCGAGACAATATGCAGCAGATTTTGAAATCCACCGAGCTGATATCACGTAAACTTCGAGTGGAGTTTCCGTTCACATAATAGTTTTAGAAACACAAAAGACCAGCCATTAATAGTAAATATCAAAGATCCTAAATGTATCCCAGTCAGAGTTTCTACATCATTTATGAGTTCGCTAAGGCATACCACATACAGAATAGGCAAACACAAAAATGAGATCTGTGAAAGAAAATTAAAAAGATTGTGCCTTGTCACTTTCGAGGGAGTAATGAACTCCGGTTATTCAACCAGGCTAAGACAACCCAGTCATTAGGTTCTTCTGTAGCTTTACTGAGTTTTCCCGAACCACGCACAGTTAGAGTTTATATTACAAACCATATCCAGGCACAGTTCAACGCCGATCGCCCCCAAAACCAACAGAAAATGACAAGTTACTTCAAAAATAGAAGAATACTGCTAGATAGCTATACAGCCTGAAAATCTCCCAGCCACAGAATACATACCATACAGCAAATTTATTAGCTCAATGTAACTGTCAAACACCTGATAATCTGCAAGTGAGATTCAAATTCTTCACATAAGGTGGTCAATGACCAGAGCTCCCTATCGACACTAGTGGCCTGTGAAGTCAGTTTTTCACGTTGTTCCAGCGACTTCAATTCTCGGTCTGAACTGAGGTTAATGTTGACTATTTTCAAGTGACCATATATCCTGGCAGACTTAAGCCTTGTTCACACACTTGGTTGACTCCTCAGCCTGGCCCACTCCCCCAAACACTGTCCTTGACATCGATGGACTAATGTTAAACGCATACTTCTTCAAAGATATGCCCAGTCACATGGGATAATTAGAAACCTCAGGAATACACAATGCAGGTACTACACTACTGTTCCTTCAAAAAACAACAATCTGTTACAGGCTTCCTTTTATTCCAATAATAAACATAAGCAAACTGACAGGGCAAGATCAATTATTCGATACTCCATTTGTCCCACGAAATAATTTCATGGCCTACGGAGTTATCAGCTCGCTCGGTGAATGATTTTGGGGTGGATCTGAATCACGCACATGCATACATTCTACAGGATTAAAAATAAACTACTACAAGTTAGCTACCCTATTCCCCTGATAGCTGAGTATCCTATCTTTCAAACTTTAAAGTGTTACAGTTCTATACGAAAAAGTGCGGTACTTTTTCGACCTTAGGGAGTGCAATGTTGCATATAAAGGCGTGATGGTGTGACCTTGTGGCCGTAACAACATGTTTATATGACAAAGTAAGTGAGTGTAAATCACTAAGTAAACAGCTTTTTGAACAGTATAGTGTCGAATGATGGCCGACAGTCATTCTTCATAGTAGTAATTAACAGTGTAGTTAAGTAGTACATTTTCTTGAGTACGTATGTGGTAGAACAATGCAGTGTTAATGTGCAGAATACACTTGTCCTTCAAGGATTCATTAGTAAGCTAATAACAGCGGTGCTTCTCTTAGTTAGTCGAGCCAAACAAGTGAAAGAGTACCTCTCTAGTTAAGTAATATCAACTCAAATCAACATATTCGCGAATGATATATGGCAAACAGTCGGAATTCCTTGGAAATATAAAAAGGGCATTTTTTGTATTGTCACTTAGGGTTATGGTCAGAAATGTGAGGTGTTGAATCGATGTACTTCGTCTTGGCAATCAATCGGTGTTTTCAGGTATGATCAGCCAGGCTACGAAAAATGTGTGGTCTGTGCGAACATATAGGGTCATTTGTGTGTGACTAAGTTTTTCAGAAAGTGAACGGTGTTCTATTATGTACTAGCACTCAGTGATAAGGATATCCTTACCCTTACCAGAACAGTACATACTATGCTGACAAGTCTAAACACAATTGTGTAAATCCTTGCGATTAATATCTGCCTCTATTCTTGGTTGCTACTTGAAATCGTCCTCTCAAGCAACGAATATCATGTTTTGAGGTATGATTTTTGAGCTACTAATCACCCGTAGATTTGCCTTCAGCTTATTCGATTGAATTTTGTGTACTTTCTTGTAGAGTCGCCGAAGGCGATCCTTCCCTAAGGGGGAGAAGAGATGGAACTCAAGGATAACAATATCATGACTAAGGACATGAGATTTCAATACTGAATCACCTCTTTTTACGTTTGCTGACATTAATTCAATGCATATGTGCTAATTATGATGTGATTGTTATCCTGACCAAAGTACGAATTTTCTGGTCCATCTATTAATGAATCAGTCATATGGATTATGGTGTTTGTTTGGGCTCTTTATGATTGGCTATTAATGCAGGGATGTTATCTTTAGCGGCATTTTGAGATTCACTTCGTGCTGTAACGGCTGCTACTTTGCCGTTGATATTGGAGGTTCTGAAAGAGTCAGTGGCTTTCTGTCATTGTTATGTGTCTCACGTGTTGTGTAGCGTCAGGTGCATTGAGGTTAGGTATGCAGGATTATTCAGTCGGTGGGGTTGTGGAACCCAATGGATCTAGGTTGCTGAGATATTTGTTAGTCACGACTTCCCGCCATCTCTCTCAACCAGCAATGTTAGCTGAAATGGGACTACTTTGTGTTCCTTGCTAGAGCGTAGTAAATTTACTTTAAGCTAGTTTTATGAATTTGAATGTTGGAAGTTCAGTTTTAGTATCGTAAACTGCATAAATCATTCCATGTATATCATTATTATTATTATTGTTCCCTTAGGTTCCTAGTGGAACATAGGGCTTCAACTGCACGTCTCCACTTGCTTATGTCTTCTTTCTGCTGTACTTTTCACCTGCACACATCTTAATCCATACTCTTTCGACTCCGCTTCACACGATCTCCATGTCACCCTTGCACTGACGTCCCACTCGCCGCTTCCCTTTCGGCCTGGTTCCACTCGAGCAATGGCCTGACGTGCGCGCCATGTCACCCAGAGGCGGCCTCCTCAGCGAGCGAGTGTCCAATCCATCTCCACCTTCTGTATATTTGTTGGCTGGCGATTGGTTCTTGTTTTGTTTGTTCCCAGCCATAGTTTCTTGTTGGTGATTCTTTCCGGCCCGGCCATCTGATCTTCAGTATAGAGCGAAGACAGTTGTTGTTGATGAAGGTCTGCAACCTTTTGGAAATATTCTTTGTGACCCACCCGCCAAGTTTCTGATCCGTTCCGTATAGAAGAACTGACTTTACGTTGTTTGCATTGAAAATCCGACCGAATTTTGTTGTTGATGCTGGCTGAGTGACGAAGATTTCCAGATTGATTTCAGGTTGATGAATGTGTTTCTCGCCTTCCCGGTTCTCACTCGATTTGACATCCTCGTCCGTTCCGACTGGCTGTAGTTGAGACAATGCTCCCTAGATAAGTGAATGCAGTAACCTCTTTCAAATCCCTCCCGCCGATGGTGATTGACGTTGGATGTTGCTGTTGTTATTGTTGTTGGCTGGTTATTTTCATAACCTCCGTCTTGTCTATGTTCACATGTAGTCCTGTCTTTACTGCTTCTTCGACCAGTTTGTCGGTTTTCGCTTGTAAGTCTTCGATTTTGTGTGGCATGAAACATGAATCATCCACGCGCGAAATCCAGGTCTTCTAGGTTCTTCACGTCGGTCCAGGATATTCCTGTCTTCTCGTTTCCCACTGTCTGACGCATAATCCAGTCCCACCACAATTAGGAATATCATTGGTGATAATAAGCACCCTTGTCTGACTCCTGTGTTTACTCCAAACGCCTCGCTGAGTTTTCCGTTGTGGATCACTTGACATGTTTCGTTGTCGTACAGCTGTTGAATAAGGTTGATGAATATTTGGGGTACGCCGTAGTACTCGAGTAATTTCCAAATTACTTCACGATCAACGCTGTCGAAGGCCTTCTCAAAGTCTATAAAGTTGAGGTAGAGGTTTGATTGCCATTCCATGCTTTGTTCTGAGATGATGATGCGTAGAGTTGCAATTTGGTCAGTACATGATTTGCCTTTCCTGAATCCAGCTTGTTCTGGTCGGAGTTCTGTCTCCAGTGCGTCCTTTAATCTCTCCAGGATGATGCGACTCAGGATTTTACTTGGCGTCGATAGGAGCATGATTCCTCGCCAGTTCTTGCAGAGTCCTAAGTCGCCCTTCTTTGGTAGTTTCACGAGGTAACCTTTCCTCCAGTCAGTAGGCACCTTTCCCTCCTTCCAGACCTTTTGCAATAATGGAGTCAGCATGTCTGCTGTAGTCTCTGGGTCCGCTTTCAGTGCTTCAGGGGGTATTCCATCTGGTCCGGCTGCTTTTCCAGCTTTCAGAAGTTTGATTGCATTCAAGACTTCAGCTCTCGTTGGAGGATTGGTGTCAACTTGCAGTTGTGTACGTGCTGTTGTTGGTATTTCTGGACGGGTTGCAGGTGGTGGTCGGTTCAAGAGTCCTTTGAAGTGATCCGCCCATTGTTTAATCTGTTTTTCTTCCTTGGTAATTGGGTTCCCTTGGCTGTCTTTTATAGGTTTCGCTTGTGTTGGTCTCTTCCCGGATAGAGATTTGGTTATCTGATATAGTGTCCTCAGGTCCCTTTTGCCTGCTGCCTTCTCAGCTTCAGTGGCCAGGTTGTCGTAGAATCATCTTTTGTCCTTCCTAGCACTCTTCTTCACTTCTTTGTCCAGTGCTTTGTAAGTTGAGCTCATCGTCTCCTTCTCCTGTCCGTCCTTGCATTGAATCATTTTCTCTTTCACCATTCTCCTCTCTTCTATTAATTTCCAAGTGTCCGTTGAGAGCCATTCCTTGTCTTGTCTCTTCTTTCTTCCTAGAACCGTTGAACACGTTTCGTTGAGAATCGCCTTCAGAGACTTCCAATGTTCTTCCACGCATGATTCTTCAGTGATGTCGCGTAGTGTTTCCTGCTTTGCTCTGACAGTTGCAGTGAAGGTGTCTTTTGTGGTTGTGTCCTTCAGTAATTGAGTGTTGAACTTGCATTGTGGCCTATCCCCAGCTATCCTCGAGGCTTTTAGTTTCACCTTGAAAGTCCCTTCTACTAGATAGTGGTCTGAACCCACATCTGCTCCTCTCCTTGACCTTGTGTCCAGTAGGCTCCGTCTCCACTTTCTTGAAATTGAGATGAAGTCTATTTGGTTCTTGGTGTTTCCATCTGGTGAAATCCATGTCGTCTTGTGTATATCCTTGTGTTTGAACACACTGCCACCAATCACCAAATCATTGAAGGCGCAGAAGTCTGAGAAGAGTTCACCATTGTCGTTCATTTCACCGAGGGCCTCACGACCCATGGTGAGTTCTCTTCCTGTGTTGTCTCCTCCCAGCTTCGCATTCATGTCGCCCATCAGGATTTTGATATCGCCATTTGGGACGTTGTCCATTATTGCTTGTAGTTGTCTGTAGAACGCCTCCTTCTTCTCTTGTTCTGAGACGTTTGTAGGCGCATAGCATTGAATGACTGTAACTTTCCTTCCTTTTGAGTTGAACCTGGCTGTCATTATCCTGGAGGAGATTGGTTCCCACTGCATGAGAGCTTTGGTTGCTGTTGGTGACATCATGATGGCCACTCCCTCGGTGTGCTCATGGTTGTCCTCTAGGTGGCCGGAAAAGATTACTGTCTCTCCAGTAGGTAGTTGGCACCTTCCAGTTCCGTTCCATCTGCTTTCGCAGATTCCCAACACTTCTATTCTGTACCTTCTCATTTCAGCGGCTATCTGGGCAGCCTTTCCAGTTTCGTACATTGTACGAACATTCCAGGTACCCATCCTTACTTTTGCTTTCATCGAAAGAAGGCACATCGGCTGACTGGCTTCCCGAAGGCTTTCACCAGCCTGCGTCATTTCGCTTCCCCGATTCCAGCAAAACATAAGGTTATTGTTTATATTTTTAGTATTTTTAATATATTTGTGCGTTGAAGTTTCTGTAGCGATTTGGTTAAGTTTTGGGGGTGGAGTTACTAGCACCATGCCCCAACCCTCCCTCTTTATCCGGGCTTGGAACTGGCTAGAAAATTAGCGAGCTAGTAGTCTAGGTGAGGTTATGTATATCATTAGCCACCGAAAACTCTTTGGATTCTTATTTCGGAAATTTTCACTGAGTTCTGTGATATTTTTAACTCACTTAGAAGTTGTAGAAGTGAACACTGTCTCTTCTCAGATTTTCGCTCGAAATATTTTTCTGCTCGTTAGTGTTTTGTTTTCCAAACTTGTGCATGTATGTAACTGTCGTCATTAGTGGTGTTAACTTAGGTTACGTGCAGTTCATTTCAGGAGATTTGTGTGCACACTGAGATTCACAGACGCCCTGAGCGAACCAAAATATGCAAGCGATTCACAGAAAACAAGAATTTATGTGCTATCTGTGAACAGATTTTAGTCTTTGTTGGATTAGTTTTTAAACTTCAGTCTATGGTTTTCTGCATGCTTTCTGTTGAAGAGATATTTTATATATATAGCAAAGCAACAGTATATCAGTTTATAAAGAATTTTATCTTTCATATTCTATCTATTTCCTACACTGTGCGAATCAACGTTTCCTGAATTTTTGTTTTATCTTTTGAGAACTGATTACCGTTACATATTTATTGCACGAGGATAAAAAACATGCCAAAAGTTTTTCGACCTTCCATAAAACAAGTGAAAAGTCAAGTAAAAACGTAGGTGCTTATTGTTGATTATTCCATTAAATTTAGAAATGAACAGGAAACCCAAAAAAATGACAGTAAGGAGGTAGTTGATGCACCACCAGTTACCGAACCACCATCCTGCACAGTTCCAAGTGAACCAATTAACAGGTAGTGGAATAAGACAAATTTATTTTCGCAGTCCCCATTTAGTTTCAGAATGCGTTTCAGAAAATCCAGAAACAGAAGACCAAAGGTATTCCTTGTACACACCTATATTTTCAGGCCAACTGATCTTGATTCAGAAGTCTCCGTTAATGGTGAGAAGTCTCAGCCATCCGGAGAATTAGTGAACTTGTTTGTAACTAAAAAGGTATGTATAATTTCTTTATCCATATTTAATTAAATATTGTAGCCCCGAAGGGTTAAGACAAAGATAACAGAAGCAATTCCTCCTGTAGATCAACCACTTGATCGGTCTTCTGTCACTCTTCGTTCGTTACTGCATTGGGTTCCCATTAATAAACCACCTCCAACGTAAGTTCTTATGATATATTCAACTACTAATTAAGTTATCGACAAGACCGTCTGGACTCTACTACTTGTTCAGTTAATGGCGATGCAGAAGCCTCTAATAAAACGCAAGAAGACAATTTTGCTAACATTGAAGTTAAAGAAACATCCCCGAAAATTGCACCCAGTGACGCTTATTTAGATCCGTTAGCACCACAGTTACGCATTGATGCCAATGGAAATATAGTTTTGGATGAAACCAGTTTATTGATTAAAAAGAGTGAAAATCTTGATATGAAGAACTTGCGTCACATTAATGAGGAGACAGGTGTACTTAACGTCAACTATAACAGCTTCCGACCTCCTCGTGATTGCCATGCGAAAAGGTGGACGGAACGAGAGACTACACGGTTTTATAGAGCTTTAAGTACTATTGGAACTGATTTTTATGTTATGGAGAAAATGTTCCCACGTCGTAAAAGATCCGAACTAGTGGTAAGTTTTTCATATTCATTTGTATAATGGTTTTTCTTTTGAAGTTTTCATATTTTAACATGTTATTGCCTGTAAAATCAATTGTTTCCTGCCTACACATTCCGTGGATTATTACAGATATTTGATGCATGTCTGTCTGTGAACAATGAAGTTGCAATTTCTCATGTGACATCTAGTAAGGATTTGTAGGATAAGTCATCAGAATAAGTTAACTTCAAACATTGTCAGTTGTTTTCATTTAAGTTCAAAAAGAGTCTCTTTTTTGGCTTTTTATTACTCAGTTTACTTTCTAATAACCTAGTACCATCCTGAACAATAGTTTGAATATGCTCCATATGGTTTATAATATTTGCTTATTTGTTCTTGTTGATGAATTGTCCGTGAACCGCACCGACTATTATGACCTCCATGCATGAATATTAACTGTTCGCAACTAACGTTTCGCGACTTTCTATTTCATTTTCCGACTAACGAACGAAGAAGACATTCTGAAAAAAATTAGGATATGTATTGAGAAATGAGTTCACAATTATAATAGAAAAAATTAGCTGACATAAAAATAGTACATAATGCTGATTCCAAATGTTATGCACTTAAACAGACAGCTGACAGATTACCAATTCTGACATTAATTTTAATAATTAAATGGAAAAGGTTTATCGCTACCCCCACACAGTTAACAAATTTCAAAAAAGCAAGTAGGAAATGGAAAGCTAATAAAACTGTGAGAGATAAGAATAATGTTTTACAAACCTATTGACTTCCCCTACTAACCTAACACTTTACCTGTAAGCTCATTGTTTCTGACTGTATTGCACCACCTTACATAAGAATTTGAACGCACACCCCTATAGTCGAAAACTTCTGAACTTTTCACGTCGTTCTTATTCAACGGATATGTCTCACAGACCTAAGGTAGGAAGTAGCAAACTGATGCATAGTACATAATCGTTCTATGAATATCATACTGGCTGAAAAGATGGTGCAGATTAGTAAATGCCGAATAAACCTTAAACATCCTTACTAAGATTTCGTCAGCTGTCAGTTTATTAGATTAGCTAAAACTTTCGAGGTAAGTCCAGTGGTCGACACATTTATGCTTATCACGATCTTAAAACTAGGTGTCAGTGCAGACCAATCTTGTAGCACAAAGTGATATTGGAGTTTTCGTTCAGGGTATTCAAGGAACTTTATTTTGTCATCGCCAGCACCTGAAAAGATGATATCGTCTGCATAATCTAGATTAACGAGACTCTTCCAAGGCAACAGTCCATTACGAGATATCTGAGTTGACCATAGTCGCATTTATCAATACATTTACAGCGAAACTGAGTAAGAAAATGATGTTGGAAAGCATCATTAGTTACTTTCACTTCAGATGACAACTCTACACAAACTCTCACACGTCTGCGGCAGGTCAAGCAGAATGTCTCAATTAGTACAACAGTACAATTTCTCGACACTCCCTTCACAACCACACATCCCCACAGCACCTCTTGAAACGTGGAGCCAAGTATCACTTTTTGATCGAAAATATGGAAGATGTTAGACTCAGGTATGTATGTGTTCCAGAACCTGTCGAAGAATAAAGATACAATCAGTACTATCAGCTTTTACAAATTATATGTTCTTCAATGATAAATAATATGCTAACCTTGAGAGATGTGTTTATCTTTGACTCCATTCTACAGGTGGCCATGACTGTGCTCACTGTTAAAGCGTCTTGCATCAGAATTAAGCTTTGGCCATGCTCTGTCTGTCTGTCTGTCTGTTTTCGACATAGAACTTTGCACAAATATGCGGAAGTTCAAGTCGCCACACTCCCTCCTTGTAGCACACAAAGCAAGAGAAGAAAGTACAAGAAAGCATAATAGAGACAGTGAGCAGAGGTGTGAGACAAAGGAGGAATAATAACGAAGAACAAAACAGTTTCATTGGAGATCATAAGTCACAAGGAGTGGATGCATCTGCGCCACTGAGAACGATTTTGAGCCATGTCACCAATTGTTTCCAACCATAGATTTTTACCGTCCCGAGGACCCCAGCCTGGAAGTCTACACCTTCCTACGTGGCTTAGACCAACTGTTGTGGATTTCATTGACTGATGCCAAGTTTTTGTTTGACCGCCGCTAGCTTTTTCCAGCCTGACCCTATATCCGCTAACATTGCTCGTCGAGGGAGGCGATGGCTTGGCATACGTAACACATGTCCTAACCATCTCAGTCTTTGTAGCTTCACGACTTCGTCGATTGATTTCCCCTGTTTACCTAGAACTCTACGCCTAACCTCAATATTTCTCACCTTATTATGCCACTTCACACGGGAAATAGAACGCAGGCACCTATGATCAAAGACAGCTAGTCATGTCTTCCACTCTCAGTGGCCAGGTCTCACAACCATAAAGGAGGATGGAGCGGACTGATGAGCAGTACACCCGCCCTTTGGTCGATAGTCGAACATCTCGTCTACGCCAGAGTCGGCGTAAACTGGCAAATGCGGAACGAGCACCCTGTATCCGTGCTGAGATTTCGTCAGAGATCAGCCCGTTGGGGCTGATGGTACTTCCCAAATAAGTGAAGCGGTCAACGTGCTCTACCATGCTCTATCATCATTTATAATCTACCTTCCTGTTTAAATCAGTTTTGCCATAGTGATAATGAGTTACTCAAATAGAAACACAAAACAAACCTATAACTTATCAACTGGAAGTAAAACTGTGATAAGCAAGTGAACTAAATAATCTAGTATTCCACCTTCACTTGATACTCATTCTCCCTTCAGCTCATTCTTTTATTAGGCTTCTTAACTTTCCAGTACTCATGTACATGATAGAGTAATGTAAACATCCTGTTACAGTATATAAAGAATTTGTAACACAGATTGAGAATTACACAGTTATCTTTTATATTTCATCATAAATGTTTCACTGTCATAATAAGCTAACACACATACACATCTTAATAGAGGCAGCATTCTTCAAGAATAAAATTTCAAAGATGACTGATCTATGAGTAAGTGCTTATGGAGTTGTATGAATCATTTGAAGAATATTCTTGATGAAAACTCAGTGTGTTGAACAATGAGGCTCTTGGTGGTAGCCTTAGCAAGACTGCATAATTTTTAGTCATAAGTCATTTTTTGAACTTAGTCAATCAATCATTATTTTCCAAGTGTTGGTTTGTAGGGATTTGATTGGTTTCAGGATTTCATCATGAGCTGACATTAGTTAGAGAACCATTGGAAAACTTGGGAGTACTGGACAGCTGATTCGTCCTAGTGCCTGGGACTCTTCAGCGGTACGCACCCACCGGAATTCGAACCCAGGACCTTCCGGTTACAAGGCAAGCTCGTATACCATTAAGCCACTGGGACACGACCCAATGGTCCTTGAATTCTAACTTCTGCCTTGTAACCGGAAGGTCCTGGGTTCGAATTCCGGTGGGTGCGTACTGCTGAAGAGTCCCAGGCACTAGGACGAATCAGCTGTCCAGTACTCCCAGTTTTTCCAATGGTTCTCTAACTAATGTCAGCTCATGATGAAATCCTGAAATCATTATTTTCTTGGTGATTTTCTTCTCATCCTTGTAGTATTTACAAGATTATTTCTTAGATTAGTTCATAATTTTATTTGCAGTAATAAATCATTATTTTTTTACTTTACTCTTTAAAGAATAAATTTAAACGAGAAGAGAAACGGAATCCTTACCTTGTCAACCAAGCATTACGTAAGTTGTAATTCCCTGTGAAAATAAGCAAATGATTTTAATAATTTTTTAGGTAACCGACGAACTTATGATCTAATTAACTTGCTACCTTCAAGTGATGAAGAGAATGATGAGAAATCCGAGAAACCTTCAAAGAATAGCAAGAGGAAAAGTAAGTCTCTCAGCATTCATCCTTATAGGAAGTCTATGTATATTTTCTGTTGTTGTTATTCTCTAAAAATTATGTGTAGCACTTAAAACAGGGATTGGATAATTCTACTAGACGACGTTTGATATTGGTTCAGACCTCCCTCCTTAAAGTCTATTGTTCGAATGATTTTCTTTAGTGAGAGACCAGTTGGATTTTAGTGCTAGTAGAGTAGTATTTGTCTATGACCGCTTGTAAATATTCCAGAGTTTGCAGCAACCCTATCTTTGCCTAAATCTGTTTTTTGAATTCTTCTTGAATATTTCACACTAGAATTTTAACTTTCATTTCATATCTTTTCTTGCCATTAAGTATTTAGTCACTTACTTAGATTATTTTACAGTTCGATTTCGTTGGATCCCCACTTTTTTATTATTCCTTTGCACTTCATTTGGAAATTGGGGCATCAAACTTGAGCTGTGAAGTTTCAGTAGCAGAGGTGTTCATTTTTTTATGGGTTGGAGTTGGTAGTCTCACACTCAACCTTTACCTTTCGTCTTTATCAGGCCCGCTAATCTAGGTTTAGGAGTGCATCGACTGGGAGTCGAATCCTCGGCTATATGAGGTGGCGTGGTTGGAGAGTAGTATTCTACCACTGAACCAACAAATAAAACTGAAAGATGAGTTTACTTACTCTTTGTTTTGCAAAGATATATTACTCCTTATGTACTTATTGTCTTTTTAATTGATTAGACCATCTCCTCATGTGTTTGTTACATTTGATGATAAATATCAACTTATATAATATTTTTTGAAGCATGTTGTAAACATACTTTGGTTAAGTTCTAGAAATTACCTATTGATTAATTTCATTTGCTAAACTTTTTATTACGTTCTGTTGAATACAATATGCAGAGTCTTCTAAACACCTTGAGCTGCAATCTACGAATGTTTGGCATGCGATTCGCTCCCGCCAAATGCAAGATGATGTTACGGGACTGGACTACACCGACTCCTAGATTAGAAATAGAGAGTGAAGTGGTAGAGCACGTTGACTGCTTCACTTATTTGGGAAGTACCATCAGCCCCAACGGGTTGATCTCTGACGAAATCTCAGCACGGATACAGGGGACTCGTTTCGCACTTGCCAGTTTACGCCGTCTCTGGCGTAGACGCGATATTCGACTATCGACCAAAGGGTGGGTGTACTGCTCATCAGTCCGCTGCGTCCTCCTTTATGGTTGTGAGACCTGGCCACTGAGAGTGGAAGACATGACTAGCTGTCTTTGATCATAGGTGCCTGCGTTCCATCTGCCGTGTGAAGTGGCATAATAAGGTGAGAAATATTGAGGTTAGGCGTCAAGTTCTAGGTAAGGAGGGGAAATCAATCGACGAGATTGTGAAGTTATAGACTGAGATGATTAGGACATGTGTTACTCATGCCTAGTCATCGCCTTCCTTGACGAGCAATGTTAGCGGATATAGGGTCAGGCTGGATAAAAGCTAGCGGAGGTCAAACAAAAACTTGGCACCAGTCAATGAAATCCACAACAGTTAGTTTAAGCCACGTAGGAAGGTGTAGACTTCCTGGTTGGGGTCCTCGGGACGGTAAAAACCATTGGTTGGAAACAATTGGTGAAATGGTTCAAAATCGTTCTCAATGGCTGGTGCAGATGCATCCACTCCTTGTGACTTATGATTTCCAATGAAACTGTTTTCTTCTACGTTATTACTCCTCCTTTGTCTCACACCTCTGTTTACTGTCTCTATTATGCTTTCTTGTACTTTCTTCTCTTGCTTTGTGTGCTACAAGGAGGGAGTGTGGCGACTTGAACTGCCGCACATATGTGCAAAGTTCTATGTCGAAAACAGACACACAGGCAGAATACAATATATAAGCAGTTGCATTCTCATTTTTGTAAGTTGTCCCTTCTAAGACTGCTAGTTAATAGAAATATTCACTTTTCATGCATATTTATTCCGCTACTTTATATGTAATTGTTATTATCGGATTACTGTAACTCTACTATTACTTACGGAATATAAAGTATAAATGTCTTACTGTTCACCAAGATCAGTCCAAATTTGTTATAGCTCAATTTCCCGGAACAGTTTCATCATGTATGAGACTAAGAGCCACACTTCTTGTATGAAGGCTGATCAGATTGAAGTTGGTGACCTGTCGGTTGGAAACCGAATACTTAAGCCATTGAGCTACATCTCTATCTACCACACGTTTTCACAATTTATATATATATATATTCTCTTTCTGTCTCTCCAACTTCCCTTTGTTGTTTGTTGCCACTTTCCATATCTCAAGTATAGGCGTTGCGTCATTCCGATTGCATATGTGCGGTGTTGAATCGATAAACAAAGCTTCAGTGATTAACCTCTTTGTCTCTCCACCTAACTATATTACTTTTTAATACCCGCACCCTCCCCCACTCTATTTTGTGATTACATGCAAGTGAATGCAGTGCTATGGCTGACCTTTTTCCTAGGACTTATTTTTTTTAATTTCCTTCACGTTCCCAGTGGAACATAGGGGCTTCAATCTAGTGGCTTGAAGTTTCTGTAGCAGTGTTTAATTTTACAAGATGGGGTGGCTAGCCTCATGCCCAACCTTTCCTCTTTACCAGCATTATTTTTAGCTTAGCGAGGTAAAGGAGTGCGTTGACCGGGGGTCGAACCCGGGACTATGTGCATGGTCGGCTAGCGTCCTAACGCTGTGCCACCGACGCACTCTAGGACATATAACTTAAAATTATTCTAGGTCAGTCTGAATCTTTATCTCCCGATAATCTAACTGACCCCGATCTATTAGTGTGACCTGTGAAATTGACCCCACAGTCATTATATATAGTACTTTGGTGAGACATGTTAAATTTCCTGATTGGATCTTTTGGGTCCTTAAGCCAACAAAGTTTTTATCTCTGAGAGAGTTGGTTAGTCTAAATGACACCTTAATTCCAGACTCATCAAGAATCCTGCTCAAGGCCTTTGATGTTTCTTCTTCATACATACGGCAGTACTACACAGGCTCTGAATTCCACTTTATATTATTTTCTCCATTTTCATTACTAATCTTTTTTTTTATGGTTATGCATATGCTTTTGAATAAATTCTGGTGGATGGTTATTCACTAGTAATATTCTCCTTATTCATTTGATTTCATCATTTAAATCTTTTGCCTTACTAGTTAGGCTCCTGAGCCAATTGTATAAACACTTAACTAAACTTACCTTTACCGATCTCGGATGGAATGAGTGTTTCAGTTTCCTGTAAATGTTAGTATCTAACCCACCATCTTGTTTTCATTTTATTCTTCAGTTTAGCATAGACAACTCTGTTCGTTTTCTAACTCAGGAGTGAATTGGGTTACCTCTGTTATTGAGTTTATCTGCATGAAAAACTGAGGGATATGTTGAGATTTCAACACAGTGAATGTGTCATCCGCATGTCTTCACCGTAACCTATTGGCCTTATGTTCCCAACTATCCATAATTAGGTCTGCTACTATTGGAGATAGTGGTGACACCATTGCCTCCCCATTCGTTCGTTGTGACATTTTACTACAGTAGAATACATAATATTATTTCATCAACCGAGAGCTAAGTCCCACTTTTGAGTTCAGGATCAATGTTCAGTTCTTTCCCAACTGCCTCCAGAACTGTATATTAATGGGAATATTAGTATATCAACTGGTTATGTCAAAGCCAATCATATTTTCCTGTTTTTCTAGTTGAATTTTCTCTAGTTTCTGTTTCACTACATAAAATTTGACTTATTTGTAATGGGGAATAACACTGATGCTAAATATTTTAAATAACTTGTACATCTGGGTGTTTTAAAGTCAACTATTGGCCTGATAGGGTATCCTGCTTTAGGCCTTCTTACAGTCCCATACATTTTATTAGGATTATTAATTTTAGGCATAAGATTAAGCCATTTTGACTCATCCAAAGGTGATTTTATACTGCTCTGACTTGTTCCTCAGTAGTTTTGTGTATTTTCACTTAATGCTACTTCTATACCAGAAATGACATCATCAAGCTTTAATCTGTTAACAGCTACGTTGAAGTTTAATCCCTTTTCAAGTACTCGTATTATTCTTTTATTGCATACTGTTTATTTCGGCCCTTTTCAAAGTAGGAAAGTTAAATGACAACTAACGTTTACATGAAAAGATAGCAAAATAAATAGGCCATATAAAGCAGACAAAGCTGTTATAAAGAAATTTCATGCGAATTTATCACACTTTACTGGGAACCCTTTCTGTTATACAGTTAGTGTTACACCTGTGAATGAAGACTGGGTACATTTTGAGTGTTTACAACTAAGTGTATGAAACACCTCATATATGACATCATCAGCCCCGGTATACTAGTATTCAAACTATTGCTAAAGTTATTGATCGTAGGAGGCATATTAAGCCAGATGAATCAATTTAGTGTAAATAATCAGTTTTAAGTGTATGCATTATTTGTAGTACGTTTAATTTTTTTGGTGTAGCAACACTATGAATACGTTCCTTCACATACTTATATTTTTTACATCAACTATTATCAAATAAATAATGTAAATATGTTGGTGTTTTGAATTATATAGATAAATGTGGTCAAGACTCAACTACCTGCAGTGATCAGTCATCTGAAAAATGTCCTAATGAATCGGGTAAATCTAAGTCTAAAAGAAGGAAAAGTAGTGTACTCTGTCCAGATCCTTATTTCGAAGATCGTTTATCGGATACAATCGACTTCGTTTTATCTCAATATGCCAATTCCAACTCGTCTAACCATGAATCTGATTCAACTGAACAAATTACAGATGAACAACAAAATATTAAGAAAATTACTCATCGATATGGACTTAGACGTTCATCACGTAATATACCAACTTTAGAAAAAATGATCTCAGCTAAAGAAGCCGAATTAGCTGCTTCTAGAGAAAATAAAGATAAATGTGATTTGGATTTACCTCTTCAGTCTTCACCTACAGACAAGCACTTGTCAAGTTGTCCAAAGACAGTAGTTCCTAAACATCCTAAATCTTATTTCCCACCAAAAGTTAATCTTTTCAAATTCAAGGATAGTATTTTAGGGGAATCATAATAACAATGTAACTTTTCTAATGTACTGTATATAAAATGTCTTTACATAAATGTTCATATTTTAATTGCCTTTAAATAAAGCATTTTTACTTCACTACACTTTCAAGTGTTATTGTATCTTTTAATTGGGGGTGGGGGCGGGATCAAAACATCAACTGTCATCAGGCTAATGCACCCAAGAAACATATTTGTTTGTTATTTTCCAAATAAATACACTTTATTTCTTTTAAGTTACTTAATTGTTCACGAAGATATTATGCACAACGTGGTTACTGGGTCCACGTATGTTTTATTGTTGTTGATGAACCTGTTCATTTAATAACACTAACGTTGGAAAAAGAAAGAAAAAAGGCTGGTGCAGGATAGAATGGATCCAATTTATTTCTTAAGTCCTCCTCAATCTACTTTCAACCTGTAACACTTAATAAAACGAATTATTAAAAAAAAAAAAATTGATATGATTATGAACAATAAATTGTGTTCGAAACGTCATCCAGTATACAATACTGATTCACTGTGTGATACATTTAATAATCAAACTAATATGGAATTATAAAATAATTTTAACATTATTATTGCTCCCTTGGGTTCCTAGTGGAACAGGGTTTCAACTGCACGTCTCTATTTGCTTCTGTCTTCTCCTGTATTTTTCACCTGCAGCCATGTTAGTCCATACTGTTTCAACTCCTCTTCACACGATCTCCTCCATGTCACCCTTGCACTGACGTCCCACTCGCCGCTTCCCTTTCGGGTTCCACTCGAGCAATGGCCTAATGCGCGTGTGAGGTCAACCAGCGGCCTCCTCAGCGAGCGAGTGTCCTATCCATCTCCACTTTCTCCTGCATATTTGTTGGGCGATTGGTTCTTGCTTTGTTTGTTCCCATAGTTCCTTGTTGGTGATTCTTTCCGGCCCGGCCATCTGATCTTCAGTATAGAGCGAAGACAGTTGTTGGTTGATGAAGGTCTGCAACCTTTTGGAAATATTCTTTGTGACCCGCCCGCCAAGTTTCTGATCCGTATAGAAGAACTGACTGACTTTACGTTGTTTGCATTGAAAATCCGACCGAATTTTGTTGATGCTGGCTGAGTGACGAAGATTTCCAGATTGATTTCAGGTTGATGAATGTGTTTCTCGCCTTCCCGGTTCTCACTCGATTTGACATCCTCGTCCGTTCCGACTGGCTGTAGTTGAGACAATGCTCCCTAGATAAGTGAACGCAGTAACCTCTTTCAAATCCCTCCCGTCGATGGTGATTGATGTTGGATGTTGCTGTTGTTATTGTTGTTGGCTGGTTATTTTCATAACCTCCGTCTTGTCTATGTTCACATGTAGTCCTGTCTTTACTGCTTCTTCGACCAGTTTTTCGGTTTTCGCTTGTAAGTCTTCGATTTTGTGTGGCATGAAACATAAATCATCCACGCGCGAAATCCAGGTCTTCTAGGTTCTTTGCGTCGGTCCAGAATATTCCTGTCTTCTCGTTTCCCACTGTCTGACGCATAATCCAGTCAGTCCACCACAATTAGGAATATCATTGGTGATAATAAGCACCATTGTCTGACTCCTGTGTTTACATACAGTTAGTTAATTATCATGAAGCAGTCCTTCAGTAAAGAGAGTTGAAAGAAAATGTCATGGTGGGAAAAAACATGAGAATGGGGAGGTTATCTTAAACTATTTATTTAAACACAAAGAACTTGGTACAATATGGCATCAAGAAGATGCGCGACATATATGACATAAAAAGTAAAAATATAAGTAGAGAACGGATAAAGTACTTCATCTCAGAGAAAAGTAGGAAATTGCAGCACGTTCGCTACTGAATAAAATCTTTGGCCATATCCGATAACGTTTCGAGCTATCTCTCGGACTCCAACCGGAGAGTCGTGACTCAGCAACTGATGCTAACCCAACACAAATATCTTTCATTTCACTACGGCAAGTCATGGGCTGACTGCCTCTTCACTTTTCCCATTCCACCCCAGGGCTAGCGAACAGAGACCTGTACGGAAGCCCCTGAGATGACATTCGTAGCACATGTCCAAGCCACAGAAGCCGATGTTTCCGAATGACAACACTCAACGAATGGTGACTTCCAGTGCGTTCAGGTACACACCGCCGGGTCTCAGAATTACTCACACGATGACGCATCGAACGCAATCGTTCCTACGTATACAGCAATGATCGAATAGGCAGAGTTGCCGCACATCCTCAGTTCTGAGAGGCCAGGTTTCACAGGCGTGTACAGCAAGATGGCACACACTGAAACACTGTAAACTCGAACTTCGACAGCCAGGCTAACGTTGTGACGGCTCCATAGGTGGCTAAAGTTCACGCGTGCCACCCTAGCTTTCATGATACGGTTGGTAATCCCATCCGTCACGCCTCCGCAGGCACTCACACAACTATCCAGATACACGAACTTATCGACAACTTTAAGCGGTTCACCTGCCAGAGTGAGTGCAAGTACAGGCTCCTGCCAATCGTGTAATAGTACTTTGCCCTTAGACGGCACAAAGCATATACCATACCCACAGACACTGATATCTTAAATTAGTAGTACATATATTATATAAGAGCGAAGTTCTTCTGTAGGAAATGGGAAAAATTGCCAGTGACAGTTACGTAACCAGAGGTAATAAAGTACATTGATTAGAACTCATAAGATTGGAGAATCAAAATTTGGTATGTATGAAGTCCATCAAAATGATGATTATGGAAGCAGAATCCAAAGGACCAAGTCTAACATGAAACTCATGAGAAAAATGGGATAAAAAGAAAGTAATGAAAGCAGAAAACTAGAAGGGATTTACCATAGTAATCAAAGTCCAACAACAAATTCATGTTAAATACAAAGGTCAGGTTTCAACTAGTTCATTGCGATAGTCTCAAGAAAGTGTAGAAGTCTTAGGCTGTTTTGTCTGTTAATTATTCCGAATACTCCCAACGCATCTACTCATCTATCAGGTGTTTTGCATCTGAAGAAATCAATTTATTCGACCCTTCTAATTTAATACTCTGTGGTATTTGTTCATTGAATCTGTTGTAAACCCTTCTTTCTGTTCTTCTAAGTGTAACTGCTTTTGCTTGTCGATTTTCCAATGCTCCAACAGACAGAATGTTTCTGCTGATAAAACAAAAGTATGTTAAAATTGTATTATAATTCGTTTTATGAAATGTTACAGATCTAACTCAGTTGAAGAGGACCAACGAAACAAAATGGATCCATATCATTTTACTCTCAATGTTTGTTTTTTCTCTCTCTTCGAATTTATGAAATGGAATTTTCGTGCGAAGTTTCTAGACACGAATTTTAATTATCACTCCTTCAATTAATAAATTTTGCGTGTGTTTATATTTAACGTATTTCTTTTAGAAGCACATAGCCTGTGCCTTTTGTTCCTGCACAAATGTTACTTAACTTCATTTCAGAGCGGTTTCTGAATACTCAACTGTCATATATCGCAACTTTTTATCTACAAACAACCTTTCCAGCTAAAATATTTCTTTAAAATTTCAACAGGTATCTACTTTGAAATTTGTTGTTTCATTTACTTGTAATAGAAATATGAAGATGAATTTTGGAGTGAAGCTTACCAAACTTTTCAACAGAAAAATCAACTACTTATTAGAATAATCAAATGATTTTTGTATTGCTCATTATTTCGCAATTTATTCACTTGCATTATCCTTCATAGTGTCCGTCTAGTTGTCTATCTATTTTTCTGTCGCCAATTATTAGTCTTTAAATATTTTCGCTTGTTTAATATCGTCAACTTTTTCGTCACACGTATATATCCTGTGGTTTATCATTAAAACTAGTTAACTGACTAAGAAGTATTACTTTCGACTTAATTCTTTAGGTTTCTTGAGGTCTACAAATATTGTACTTACGAGTCATAGTGGTTCTCATGGCTAAGATATTTGCAAGTGGAAGGCATCACATAATGACTTGTTAACTGACGAAAAGGACTATTTCCTTGGTATTCATAGTCTTAGTTAGAACCGTACGTTTCTTTTATCAGTTGATCGTTTACTGGAGTTTCCTGATAATCTGCGTTTAAGTATCGCTCTATAACTTTCTGACTTCATCTACCCATATACACAGGGTTTTGATGTGATTGTGTTTCCCTGATTCTGGTGGATTCAGTTGCGGAACTTTCATTGTTATTCTGGAGAACATCTTCAGTGAAAAGTTCAAACTTAAGTGAACTTATTTCAATTCTCCATGACTGATGATATAATTGTCTGTCCTGATAACATTGGCTGTGAATTCGCATTAGTATTGGTAGCATATTTTGGCTTGGAATTTGAGTATTTTGTCATGAGGCGTATTCGTTATAAGGTGATGATACTGCTGTACGCTAATGTCAATGTAGTTGAAGATTGAACGATCAATTCGTGGTTGTTTCCTCAAACTCAGCCCCTCCATATTTCTCGTAGCAGTCATCAATCATGCAGTCATCGTCTCATCGTTCGCTGTTCCGAGGAAGATAAAAAACTACATATTGGCGGAAGAATAAAGGATTCTCGAGTCGCCAATGTGTGTTCCGGTTTTTCGCGTTGTTTAATACAAAGTGTTTCTGAAAGTCTTCGAGAGACAGCGTGAGGCCCAGAGTAGTAAGACCTGGACATTGACAGTTTCTGATAGTTTCTGTTCGTCTTTCCTCGTGTCTGCCCGTCTTCTTTGGACAAGTATTATCTGGAACTTTTCTGGATTGTTTAGTCAATTTCAGTAATGCCCGGGTCAAAGAAAGGACAAAGCGTCTTGGGAGCAGACAGGAAAGTAAGTAATGCTGAGTTGTCTGTTATATGTAATGATGTGTGAGATGTCAGGCATGATAAGATTGATGTCCATGGTTCGCCGTCTAGGGATAATAGAAAACTTAAAATTCCTAAATATGAACCTCGGTGTTTCGACGGAAACCCAGCTGACTATCCACAGTTTGTAAAGGAGTTTGAAGTCATGTTGAGTGGGTTTGCAATAAATGATGAAATGCAGTTGATGTATTGTTGAGTTACTGCACTGGTGTTGCTGCAAGAACCATACAGTGCTGTAAGTTCATACCCCCAAACGAAGGATATACTGAGGCGATGCGTATCCTGCGTCAAAGGCTTCGAAGGCCTTTTATGATATCCCGTAGCATTTTTGAGACCGTTAAAGGTAA